TTTAATGTATTATTATTCACTGACATTTAATAAAATACAGAATTGTTGTTTTCATGCAAAAGATAAATCATTGATAATTGTTTACATAGATAAGATTTAAATAAACCTTATAATATATTATACAGCCAAAAATAAAAGAAATATTAAAATATACTAAATGATCTAGAATTAATATTTAATTTACATCTGATTCTTATTTTAATTCTATGCTTTTTCCATCTTCAGAAATAACAAATTTGGAATCTTTGTAATATAAAAGATTCACAGATTTTTGAATTGACCATGCTTTGTAACCAAGTTTATAGAATAATGGTAACTGATCGAATCTACCAGCTATTGCCAATGAATTATTGTAATCCCATTGTTGATCCATTAGTTTATGTGCATGTTTCTTTTTTGAAGTTTTTAGCATCGAGTTTTCTAGCATCACATGTTTTGTTGGTAAAGTTATTTGGCCTTGAAGTAGAGTCAAAAAAATTGCACCTAGGTAATAAAAATTCAAAATATGACATTAAATTTATGCATAAAAAAGTTTATGCATAAAATTTTGTAATTAAATTTATTATATTATTACGAAAATTAATTCAAATTTTTGTTAATACACTTTTGTAGTTATTTGCACATTTTTATTACATGCGGAAATTATTCAATGTATATTATATATAAAAGATTATATATAATGTATATTGGTTAAGGTAATAATTATTAAAATAACTTTATGCAAAATATTAAAATTTGATAAATTTAATATGCGTAATGTGCGTATGCGTGCATACATATGTACATTATTTCATATCAAATAAGCAATTCTTTTTATTGATCAGTTTATAGCTAATGTATGTCACAATTGTTAAATTACACGTAAAATTAATTATCATGTTGTTGGACTCGAAATACCTGCATATGAAACATAGGAAACGGTACAACATTGGAAGGTATACCAATGATACACATTGAAGGATGCTCGATATTTATGAGATGTTTATAAAGCGGAGTTATGTAATTACTCTCAACTTGTATGCCACAATTTTTGTCTAAAAAAGGAAAATTGTACTTGTATCCAGTACAAAAAAGGAAAACGTCGATAGTATCGATAATGGTGCCATCTTTAAGATAAAATGTAGTTCCGTGTATGCTTTCAACACCAGCAACTTGTATCATGTTCGATGGTAAAGAACTTATTAATCTGAAAGTAAACAATCAAAGTAAGAAAGTTTTCAATTAAACTTTGTTTCTTTCTCATATCATTTAATTAAAAATGTAGTCAAATGTAATTTCGATTTGTATTATGTTTGATGAAAAAATTTATTAATCTGTAGAAAGTATAAAAATATACAATAAAAAATATAGAAAACCCTCAACCATATTTAATTTCTTTTTAATTTTATTTCTAGTATTATACAATAGTAATTTAATATCTATTGTACAAACAACAAATATAGTCAATAATAACAACAATAATAACAAATATAGTCAAATCGTAATTAATTTTTAACAACTTGATTAGTTGCTTACTTATCGTGATTGTGACTTAAATACACGCGACTCGCTTGATTAGACAAATCGATTCCTATATCGATACCGGATGAACCTGCACCCAGTATTAATATATTTTTACCGGAAAATTCATCCGGTTTTCTATACGAATGGCTATGCAGTATTAAACCTGAAAAACTTTCGATACCAACTATAGTTGGTACATACGGATCAAAATAATGTCTAAAAAACGGATAAAAACGATTATTTACTTCAAACTATTAATGTAATCGACAATTTTTGATCTAATCAGTAATTGCATTTTCTTACCCATTACAAACCATAATTGCATCAAAATAACGTAATTCCATTTCGTTTGTTTTTAATTTTCTTATTTGCACAGACCATTTATTTTGATCGCAATAATCAGATGATATAGATTGAACATGTTCAACTTTGATATTAAACTGAAAAATAAAAACTGAATAAGAAAAATTACTGAATAAAAAAATAATATTGTTATACAGGATGATTTATCTACAACAAAATTGGAATATCAAAAATTAAATTTGCTAAACAAAAATATTATATTTTAAAACAAAAGTTATATGATTTAACAAAAGTATGATTTGAAGGAGGATAAATAATGATAAATTCAATTTTCAAAAGAAATCAATTTTTCAAGATCATATGGAGGTCATCTCCATTCTTTTATATGAATTAGTATGATTTTTTTTTTACATAATATTCCCCTTCAGATCATATAATTTTTTTTCAAAACATTTTTGCCTACCGGGTTCAATTTTCAATATAATCCGATATTTTGTTTTAGGTGGATCATCCTCTATATATTTCTGTATCTATAATACAATGAAATTACATGAACATGTCGATATATGTCAAAATGCTGAGCATAATCTTTTAAATATTTTAAAACTTCTTGGTGATTCACACAACTCCGTTCTTGTCCTTCCATTGTCATGTAATCCGGAAAATTCATAATTTTTGCAGGCAAATTCGTTCTATACAACAGATCAAAAAATATACTTGACATTAGAGACTGATTAAGTCGAAAATGACACAGATTTCCTAAAGAGACACCTTGTTTCCCGAACATTAAAAGTTGCAACTTATTAATATCGCTAAAAACATAATCTGTTTACAAGTAATCTAGTGATACAACCCAAGTGATACATCTAATTTTTTTCAAATTTAGCACAAATATAAGAACTACAAAAAATATTTTACACCTATCTTTCGATTTTGATCTAAAGATAGTTACTACCTATTTATCCCCTCCATATTTAGGGATTATTTCCCTATTTAGGGAAATACTAGAAAACGTGGAAGAAATGACACGCATGTGTGAAATGCACTTCTTAAAAAGGCAAAAAAGAGCAGTAAGACATTGAGGAAAGGGCAGAAAGGTAATCAATAGAAAGAGTTATAAAGGAACATTGGGAAATAAAGGAGAGTGAAGCAAGGAAGAAGAAAGAAGCAGGTAAATACGGAATCATAAACGATAAGATTATGGTCAAATTTTCGCTAAGAACGAAAACAAGGAAATAGTTAGGAAAGGAATAGAGCGAAGGAATATCGGAGATAGACGGAATTAATACGACATTTAACAAAACTCTCCGTCAAGGCAAGATCGATAAGGTAGAAAATAACTGATAGAGAGACATATACGAAGGCAACAGTTGATCGATAAAGCAGGAAATGATAAATATTGTTATATCCGCGGCGGTCACTTCAAAACTCGCGCACACTCTCTCGCGTTTCCGCACACTCGCGCAATTCATGAGGAAGCCGCACTCAAAATAATTAACACTTCTTAGAAACACAAGAACTTTATTAAAAGCAGAACAATCAGAATACAGCGAATACATGTCCGTTCGCTACGAGACACCGCGCAACAAAAAACAATCTCACAACGTAACCGTTGTCCCGGAGAGCGCTTCGCTTCTTCTCCAAATGGCGGCTTGATTCTGCTCCACCGCGGAAGACTTGCGCAGGCATAACAATATATAACGAACAAATAAAAGGAGAAAAAAAGGAGAGAAAACCAACGAAGCAGAAAGAGAAAGGAAGCGAAAAAGAGAAAACAATCTTAGATTGTTTAATTTGAAGATCCAAAGCGAGGAAAAAGGAATCGATCATCATGTCAAGTAAAAGAGAAAGTGAAGAGGAAAAAAGAATAGAGACGGGAAGAGAATTTTTAGGAAAGTTCGAGAAAGCAAGGAAAAACAAGAAAGCTACTAGGAAGAAAAACAGGAAAGACGCGTCTTGCTGTCTTCTCGTGCGTCTTCCTTTGTTTTTTCCTTGCAGGAAGAAACAAAGGGAGACGCACAAGAAGATTGTAATATATAATAACAGAGGAAAGCATGACGGAAATAAAGGAATTTATGATGGATAAGTGTCGGTCCACAATAGGTGATTTAAGCTTTAAGAAGTAAGAAATTGACCAATTGTAATCGAATATGAAAAGAATACTCGACTATGATTAGTCAATTTCTTACGGCTTAAAGATTAAATACTTATTGTGGACCGACACTAAGAGAAGAATTGAGAAGTGCTAGAGAAAGAATAATAAAGGAAATTAAGAATGAATGAAAAAGGGGAAAAAGGATTGGCAAAGAAGAATTAAGGAAATAAAGTACAAAATAGAAAATTTAGTAATGAGAGAAAATAAAAGAAAAAGTCAGAAAATTAGAAGTTGCAGAAGAATTAAGAAAAAAAAGAAATAACATAGTAATAAATGGATGGAGGGTTCCAAAAAGACACCGGTTGGAAATAACAGTGAAAGAAATGTTGAAGGACGAACTCAAAGTCGATATGGTTGTGGAAAAAGCGTTCTGGAGAAGAGATACAAAAATGGTAACGGCAAAGATTAAAGACAAAGAACAAAAAAGAGAAATAATTTTCTTCTCAATCGTATTGCTCGTGTCCGAGTGGTGATCTGTCTTATATATTTGCGATGTGCACGATGATTATACACAGGTATATGGGACCTACAGTTTAACGCCGCACGCCGGTTCCGAACGGCAAATTATTGGTAGAGAGATATACTAGATAAAGTTACTCTCAGTAGTTTGTCGTTGTCTTCCGAGAGAAGACAAGTGTAAATATTTTGACTCTATCGGGGATCGAATCCTCTAACATAATAGACGCGTTGTCTACTATGCCACGCTCTTGAAATAATGATAACAAAACTTGAAAGGTAAGAATATAGTTATAGATATGATTTAACTTAGAAAGAGAGACAGGTACAGAAAGAAATACATGAGAGCAGAAAAAGGGAAAAGAGTCCTGAGAGTCGATTGTGTATCTTTATCGACTTTCCTCACTTCTCACACTTTCATCTCACATGAAAAAATACGCGCAATTGATTATGAGCATAGTGAAAATATGATATTCCTATGCTCACGAGAGTGAAAATCACAAATGCAAGTCCTAGCAACGGAATACAATTTGTCATATAACTTGTGATGTTAAAAAATATCGACTGTGTAAATAATGAATGTTACAGAAAAACAAAAAGAATTAATCATGCTACTTTAGATAATCTATAACGTATAAATATATGTATGTATTTATGTATATACCATAATATTAAATTATAAAATTATATATTTATAGATTAATTTTATATATAAATTGTAATGTATGTTGAATATATTATAAGACTTTGCAGACATTAAAAGAAATATTAGGAACAGAAGTTAATATTAAATGTTTTTTAAAAAAATAAAAATTAAAAATACAGGTTAAACATAATGCATAATGGATACAAATTAAAATATAAAATATATAAATATATCATATATCTATATCATATATTTATAGCCATTTCGCATTATATTTATGAATCCCTATATTTTTTTAAATATTTTTTAATACTTAATATTTATTCCTGTTCTATTTCTTTCATTATGTGCAGAGCCTAATTGTAATTTAATATAATTTGTGTAAATTATCAATATAATTTGCTCATATCCTGTACAATTTGAGAAATGTATTATCCGGTATGTCAAACGGATCTTGTATATCCCTTAATCTTTTCTTTATTATATTTAAATTTCTTTGGTGCATCTATTCCCACTTTTTCATTTTCTTCCATCAGCGATATAATAGTGAAATCCATTATTTTTGGTATTAATCGATGTACATATTATCGTCCTAAACTGTAACGATGCAAATTCGACACAATTTGACTGAATTCGACATTCAAAGTCGAAGCAATGTCACGTGAGAAATATTGCATTTTCACTATGATGAAAATCACCCAATCAAGTGAGAACTTGCTTTTACCATTTTTACTAGATTTTACGACATACAATTGAGCTTAAGGTGAAGATTGAATACAGGAAGCTGCAGGTCAACGAGAAGAAGTTTGGAAGGTAAAAGAAGGGCTAAAAGAGCAAAATTTTTGGAGTAAACAGAGCTCCGTAAGCTCACAAACAAGCAAACGGAGAGGAGGAGAAGAGCTCATATAGTTATTCCGCCATAGTCGGTGAGAACTGACCGCGAAGAAAGGCGGGGCAGAGATGAGATAGCTGAAAAGCCGAAGAAAAACAAAACACAAATCAACGACAAGAAAAGAAAAGAAAGCACAAAAAGAAAAAAGAAATAAGAAGGCAAAAATAAGAAAATTAAAATTGGTTTTTGGAATATTGCAGGATTGGACAACAAAAACGCACAAATCTGGAACTATAAAAGAATTCAACATAATTCGGAATGGTAGAAACATGGAAAAAAGTTGGAACAAAAGAACCCGTATCAAAAAGCTTTAATTGGGTATGTCAACACGTCAAGAGAGAAAAGAATAAAAGGCGATGGTAGGAATCATCACGTTCTGAAGTACCGGTCGTGAGAAATCGAGAATATATATGTGTTACGTTCAGCCAAGAATAAGTTGAAAATTGAGAATTAAAAATTAAAAATGCAAACGGGGATACAAATGGGCTTGGAAGGACGCGAACAGCTACTCTCTCAAAGGCCAAGCGTGGAAATCTGTCGAGTCCGAGCGTACTGATAAGTCTCGGCACTAGATCAGCGATATGAAAACGCTACGATGCTATTCTACAGTGCGCTGGTCGAATATTTTCTGGTCAAGAAACTTAATTCTTCTTAGGTACCAGGAATAGACCTTGTGCGATCAATGGGATGGGGAATAAGACGAGGGGTTTTAAGAGAAAAGAGAAATTAAAATTAAATTAAATGTTTAATATGGTTAATGTTGTACATGTTTTTGAGAAGCAAGAGAAATAATGTAGGCGAGTAATGTGCATGTATGTTATCGCGAGTGTTACAATCATTCGGCGGCCATCGGATAGGATTTCTAGTAGGAAGAGTGTGAGTGTAAGAGTGTATTAAGCGATGATCCTATCCTGTAATACAATACAAAATATATTCAACAATAAACTTAAATTAATAAAAACGAAAATATGACATTATTTAATCGATATATGTACGTGTATGTGTATGATGGAAAATTAGGGAGGAGAATAGGCTTGGATTTGTTCTGAAGGAGAGATTAAGAGATCGAATAATTCAAGGAAATCTGTTTCAATATTAGGAAACAAGATTGTTCTCTATCATTGGAGAATAAAAGACCGAAGGGGGATAGAGCTTCGAAGTCAATGATAGATTCGGGGTCAAAAGCATAAAATGAATTTTCCGAGGTACCGGTAGAGAATTCAGGGAAAAGTTGGGAAACGAGTCGAGAGAAAATTCAGATGAGAAAATAGTAAAGGTTGAGTGTGAAAGAAGAGGAGAGGGAGATTCAAGAGGGGTGATAGAAGAGGTTGACGGTAACGGTTTGATAGGTTGTTTCGTTGGTAGATGGTTTCGTTTCGCTTTTCTGTTTCTAGTTTTCAACGCCGGGCTCTATCACTATAATGACGAGGAGTCGTTTTAACAAACGGTCAGATTGTCAAATTTTAGAAGGGGGCATTCCTAATTAATTCACTAAGAGGAAAAGGAGAAAATGAATAAAAAAAAATTTGGCACATGATAAAGA